ACAGTCAGTCGGGCACATTCCTAAATTTCGGCTGAATTCCTTTATGAAAGGGAAAACCATTGCTCAAATTGCGAACCAATTTAGAAATTGTTTTCAGGTTTAAAATGTAAACCAGAAAAAGTTTTCTTAGCTTTTGCTCTCCGCCGTGTGCCTCGCTGCCTTCGGTGGCTTTCGGTGGCTTTCGGTGGCTGACAAGCGCGAGTAACTGGATGAGTGCCACTGCTTGACGGCAGCACTGGATGCCTGCCAGCTGCTGAGGCCGCGATGGGGCTGGTAGCTGCAGGGGGAGGTGGAGGTGGAGGCGGAGGTGGAAGCGAAGGTGGCGCTTGCCTGGCTGGCTGTTAGCCAAAAATTGTAGCAGCACGGTGTCAAAATTCAATTTACGCATTATTATGCGTACATAAATGAGTCGACACCCTCCCGGCCCGCCCCTCCCTCGCCTTCGGTACTACGCGACTCTACGCCATGCCGTCTTTTGAGTAGAGAAAAGCAGTTCTCGGCTGTTTTGACTACCAGCTCGGCGTGCGTTCTATGCGATTCTCACTACCTACTTATTGTCGCTGTGACAGTTCAAAAAGGGAAACGGGAAACAGGGAACGGGAAACGGGGAACGGCGAACGTGGCAAGCAGCTCGAGTGGCTGCGGCAGCATGTCGCTGATTGTGGCTACAGTGGAACCACTGAATGAATTATTGGCGTTGCCAGCGCTGTCAAAAGGAGACGTTGCGTAAAACCCTCACTTGCTCTAAGTGTGTGTGTATGCGTGTGTGTGTGTGTGCGTGATAAAAGAGGCGAACTTTTGAATTTCAATTTCAGTTTGAAATTCAGTTTCAATTTTAACACTTTTACTTAAAATATGTTCGCGTTTTTACTCTGATAGGCTGATATGCTGCAGCCCCGATTCCTTTCTGGCCGTACCCTCGTTCAATAAATTGTCTACCTAGGCCCATATAGAACCTATATAGAATGTTCAGCTGCACTCGCACCTTCTACGACGCTTCAAAGCAAAACGAATCAATATTTAAAGTCAAGCAACTGCTGAGGTTCATTAGAGATTGAATCCATAGCTGGCCTTCTGTCTCTTTTATGAAACTCAACTATTTTATGGAGCACGAGAAAATACTATGGAATGTTCCGGCGTATTTTAATTAAATCACAGACTGTACTTTGAGCCCTGTTGCCTAACTTTATTCAAATTGACAACAAACAGCAAACATTTGGCTAAGCATAATCGGCCAAGTTGTAGACTTAATTGCTTTGCTGTTTCTCAAAGTTCATTTTTCATGCCATATTATGAAAAAGTTGTAAAAAAAATAAAATATTTTTTTCTGCTGCCTCTATAACTAGGCTATAGTTTTTTTTTTTTTTTTTTACCTCAACAGAAGCATAAAATGGAAACGGAAAACGGGAAATGGGAAACATAAAGCACAAACAGAGCCAGCGATGTGACGCTGCAGAGAGTGGGTGACTAGCAAACACCCTGTACGCGTGTAGGAAAGAGAACGAACTCTGAGATAGGGTATCCCATCAATAGACTTGAATCAAATCACTAACAAAGTTGAGTCGTGCTTGCTCTAAAAAAGTCTGCATTTATAATGAATCAAGACTGTAGCTCTTATAATGCATAGGGAGAGGGACCCAGATAGTGAGATAGAGAAAGGCTGACCCTTGCGGATTCTCAATGGCAGAATGGTTCGCTCCCTACTCCGTATAGATATACATATATATATAAGATATATACCACTCTGTAAACGACTTATGTATATATTAAAAATCACTTTACGCAAGCGAAGATCTTGTACCATAAGCAGAATGCATAAATTATCATTCCTCTATTTCATCACAGCTCTGAGCTCCTACAAGGCCAAATAGACACCCGCGGAGGCATAGGGAAGGAGCTTGAACAAACTTGTTCACAATTTGATTACACCCCTTTGACCCCATTGGCAGGGTATATATATATATGTACATGTATATCTATATGCACATGCACATACATTTACGTATATATAAAGGAAAAGGAAATAGGAAAAAGGAAACCGAGAGACAGGAGCGCCAACAACCATTTCAAAAGCAATTAAAAATGTTTAATACATACAATTAAAGTTTTTAATGGACAGCCAGGCGCGAGTGACTTGTGTGCACGGCAAGAGGCTGGGCGGGTGATGGTGGTGGGGCGTGGGGCGTGGCTAGGCGTGGCGTGGGGTAGAGCTGGGCGTATAATGTAAAAAATCAAACAATTTTTCGACTGCTAATTAAATCAAAATTCATTTAAGGCCAAACTGAATTTCGCCGACTGTAAATTTGATTGACCAGCAAGAGGGGGGCCAGCATGGGCCGGGGGCGTGCCAAGAATTTGACTAGAAATTTAGCGTATCGTGCCCGCCCTAGCCTTAAGCCTTTAAGCCTTTAAGTCCTTGTGGTGGCTGCCAGGCATAATTTTATTAAACGATTTTCTATTGTCGACTTAATCAGTGAGTTGTCCAGCCTCTCTCTCTCTCTCTCTCTCTCTCTTTCTCTCTTTCTGTTGCTCTTTCTCTCTTTCACGCTGTCGCTATCGCTTTCATCCTGGCTTAGGTCCCATTCATCCATCAAACTGAATGGTTCTCTGTGTGCGTGTGTATGTGAGCCTATCTATCTAGCCATCCATACAGCCAGACAGCTAGACATCTATCGATCTATCTGCGGGCTGGTAATTGAATGCATGTGGGGGAAAAACTGTTGATAAAATTAGCAGCACCTCCTTTTCGGCGCTCAAATGCAAATAGCAGAAATAAAGTGATGAAAAAGTTAATTAAACTTTTTGATGAGATTTCCAGATTTTGGCATTGCGAGGTACCTCTCGACCCTGACACACCGATCCCTGCCCACCGCAAACACCTCCGCCTCATCGGACCTCCCTCTGCACCTCCTCCTCCTGCACAGAAATCCCACAAATGTCAGCACTGATCCCATCACACACCTCTCCAGGGTCCCTTCAATAGACCCCTAAACAGACCTAAATAGAATCTAGCATAATGCAGCGCCTGCTCCTCTGCCTGCTCCTCGTGGCATTAAGCAGCGCTTCCCCTCCCATCTCTGGCTGTGCTCCTTCACAGATGCCAGCACAGACCCCTCCAGACTAACCTCTCTCTCCGCCATCTCCCTCTCCCTCTCTCTCTCTCTCTCTCTCTCTCTCTCTCACTCTCCCTCGATTCACGCTCAGCAAAACTTTCGACACACACTCATGCTTCTCCCACTCATTCTCCGTCTTACTCTCCCCCTCTTGTGCTGGCTCTGTCATTTTTGGCCAAGTTATGTTTGTTCAAGTGTCGGCTCACTCAACTTTCAAGTTTCAACTTTGACATGTCATTCACATTCGCCTGTCGCCTGTCGCCTGGGGCTTTTTTCGTGTCTTCCATGCGCAAAACTTTCTAAATTATCGCTGGTCATTGTTTTACAAACTAAGCAACGCATCCTGCGAATTCCCTGGCATCCTGCGCCAATGCCCGCCCCTCAACCACTCAGCCCTCGCCCCACAGCCTCTGCTGGCTCGCACCTCCGCCGCTCAATATTGCAAAATGAGCTGCTCGAAGCCTTTCAAATCAATTTCATTGAAGCCGTATCTGTTGCTGTTTACTGTTGCCATTGATGTTGCTGTTGCTGCTGCTGTTGCTGTTGCTGTTGATTGGATAAACATCCCTTTCCCTTGGACGTTGGGGAATAAATATGAATTAATTACAATGGCTCTGCCCTGCATAATGAAAAATATCGCTTCATTCCAACTCATTGGCCAGCTAGCTGTTCGCACCAGAATTGAAAACCAATCCAATCCAGAGCCAATCCCAATTTGATGCCCTCGACCCACTGTTTTTGTATCGAGCTTGAATTAATAATGTTCATCATTTTGAACGCTGCTCCTCTCAGGCGAGAGGCGCTCAGTGGTTAGGCGAGCCACTGGCTTTAGCTTTAATTCGAAGTTTTCATTTGCAGCATCAAAAGTTAACAAACTTTGCGATTGCTAATGAGATAGCTAAAGACCCTTGGATACTTTGCGAAAAGCCCTTAAACAGGGGATATAAGCCGCCTACTCGAGTGTACGAGAGATACAGAATAGTGCCCAGTCGGCTGGCCGGTCGGCCAGAGCCTGCCCAGGTGCATAAGCCCGGGCCATCAATCATCCACTCAATTTGTTGTAGGTGCAAAATGATTTCATTTAAAATCACTTTCCGAATCGTTTGACAGCTCTTCGGCGACGCTTACCTCTAAATGTGTCAATTAGCGCGCTAGGCCGGCCGGCTCTACGGCTGAGGCCGCGGCAAAGGCAGGCGCGACCGGCGCTCACATGTCCCATAATTAGGCCGGATAAAAATGCAAAGAACATCTCTAGCAGGTGCGCATTATGAGCAGCAGCCACCAGACCAGCCCCGCATCGCGTTCGGGGCCGCGGGGCTCACCACCAATTGAGCGACGTTGAACACCTCGGCCGCAGACCGCCACAGCTCCCCACCTCGAGCGACACTTGATAACCTAATAAAGCTAGGCACGTAAGCGGCGCTCAGGCGCTGGATAATCTGTAATTAATTGGCGTACATATCTGCAAACAGGACACGCACAGAATGAGAGCAGTTCGCCCTGCGAGGGCGTTCCACACATTGTCGACGGACACGCAGTCCATGGTATGAGGCTAAATGAGATAGACACCCCCCCCCCCCCTCTCCCTCTCTTTCTCTCCCTCAACCTGGCTGTCACTCTAATTAACGTATGCTTAAACATGCCAATGTCCCGGCTGTCGATATCATATCCAGGGCTACTGGCGTAGAGTCCTTTGATTATCTTTCGCACGACGCGAATCGAAGGACCACAGCTGAAACTGAGTTACACGGGGCAGATCTCTCAGCTAATGCATTAGGCTAGGTAGGCTGGCTAGTTGTCAGTGGGATTACTAAGGCTCCTCTAACTAGGCCGAGGCTCAACGCTCTGATTACCCTAGACTCATGCTTTGCCTCTTGCTCTTTGCAGCCATTTTGAGCACACTGTGCAAGGAGTTTCTGCGCGTCAATGTCTCGGCCATTCTGTACATGATGAACAACGAGCAGTTCGGCCACAGCACCGCCTCGGCGCAGTATTTTCTGCAGCTGGCCGGCTACCTGGGCATACCCGTGATCTCGTGGAATGCGGACAACTCGGGACTGGAGCGGCGAGCCTCGCAGTCGACGCTGCAGCTGCAGCTGGCGCCGAGCATCGAGCATCAGAGCGCGGCCATGTTGAGCATACTGGAGCGGTACAAGTGGCATCAGTTCTCAGTGGTCACCTCGCAGATCGCCGGCCACGACGACTTTGTGCAGGCGGTGCGCGAGCGCGTGGCCGAGATGCAGGAGCACTTCAAGTTCACGATTCTCAATTCGATTGTGGTGACGCGAACAAGCGATCTAATGGAGCTGGTGAACAGCGAGGCGCGCGTCATGCTGCTCTACGCAACCCAGACGGAGGCAATCACCATACTGCGAGCCGCCGAGGAGATGAAGCTGACCGGCGAGAACTACGTGTGGGTAGTTAGCCAGTCGGTGATTGAGAAGAAGGACGCGCACTCCCAATTTCCCGTCGGCATGCTGGGCGTCCACTTCGACACGAGCAGCGCCGCGCTAATGAACGAGATATCCAATGCCATCAAGATTTATAGCTATGGCGTCGAGGCGTACCTAACAGATCCAGCGAACCGCGACCGCCGCCTGACCACACAGTCGCTCTCCTGCGAGGACGAGGGTCGCGGCCGCTGGGACAACGGCGAAATGTGAGTATCTGTCCCCCAAGCCCCAGCCCTCAGCTAAACCCCCTCGTGCTCAATGTTCTTGCTCAGCTTTTTCAAGTACTTGCGCAACGTGTCCATCGAGGGCGATCTGAACAAGCCAAACATTGAGTTCACTGCCGACGGCGATCTCAAATCTGCCGAGCTCAAGATCATGAACCTGCGGCCCAGCGCCAACAATAAGAATCTCGTCTGGGAGGAGGTAAGTGAGACGCATCCCGCATGAGCCCTCACCTCCAGCTTAGTGAACTTCACACTTGAATGACTTGACTTTCCGAATTGTTTCTCTCTTTCTCTCTAACGCACTCACTGTACAATTCACATCCATCCACAATCCTATTATCCAACTCACTCGGAACGCTTTTTGTGCAATTGCAAATCGATTTCGTTTTGGTTTTTTTTTTTTTTTTTTGGGTGGGGGCTGGGTGAATGATCCACGCACGCACAGATCGGTGTGTGGAAGTCGTGGGAGACGCAGAAGCTCGATATTCGGGACATCGCTTGGCCAGGTAACTCGCACGCTCCGCCGCAAGGTGTGCCCGAGAAATTCCATTTAAAGATCACATTCCTCGAGGAGGCACCCTATATCAATCTGTCACCCGCCGATCCAGTCAGCGGCAAATGCTTGATGGACCGCGGTGTGCTGTGCCGTGTGGCGGCCGACCATGAAATGGCCGCCGACATCGATGTGGGTCAAGCACACCGCAACGAGTCCTTCTATCAATGCTGCAGCGGCTTTTGCATTGATCTACTCGAAAAGTTTGCCGAAGAATTGGGCTTCACCTACGAGCTGGTACGGGTTGAAGATGGTAAATGGGGTACACTTGAGAATGGTAAATGGAATGGTTTGATTGCCGACTTGGTTAACCGCAAGACGGACATGGTACTCACATCTCTCATGATCAACACCGAGCGCGAAGCAGTTGTCGATTTCAGTGAGCCGTTCATGGAAACTGGCATTGCCATTGTTGTGGCCAAACGAACGGGCATCATATCGCCTACGGCCTTTCTGGAGCCCTTCGACACGGCCTCCTGGATGCTGGTAAGTCTACCAAGAGAACACAGTCTGACTCTATGCTCCGGTAAGTCCTTACTCAAGACTACTTTATGCGCTCTCTTTCTCTCTCGCTGTCGCTATCTCCTGCTACGCCTTGGCTTCGGACGTACCTGCTACCCCCCCATCCCATTCCTCCACTCCTCTACTGAATCCAACAGGTGGGTATCGTCGCCATTCAAGCAGCCACATTTATGATTTTCCTGTTCGAGTGGCTGTCGCCCAGCGGCTACGACATGAAGCTCTACCTACAAAACACGAACGTCACGCCCTATCGGTTCTCGCTGTTCCGCACGTACTGGCTAGTCTGGGCGGTGCTCTTCCAGGCCGCCGTCCACGTGGACTCGCCGCGCGGCTTCACCTCGCGCTTCATGACCAATGTCTGGGCTCTGTTCGCTGTTGTCTTCCTTGCCATCTACACTGCCAACCTGGCGGCCTTCATGATAACCAGGTTGGTTACTCCTCTAGGGTAGCCTGCTCTAGTCCAGCCCGCACTCAATTTGCTTCTCTCGCTTCCGTTTGCAGAGAGGAGTTCCATGAGTTCAGTGGACTCAACGACAGCCGCTTGGTGCATCCGTACTCGCACAAGCCTTCGTTCAAGTTCGGCACCATACCCTACAGCCACACGGACTCTACCATACACAAGTACTTTAAGGACATGCACTACTACATGAAGCAGTGAGTACCGTCTCTTGGGGTTCTTTGATGCACCTTCTCATGATCCCCACTGCGACTCGTTTGACAGGTACAATAAGACGAGTGTGGCCGATGGCGTCGCCGCCGTACTCAATGGCAACCTGGACTCGTTCATCTACGATGGCACCGTGCTGGATTACTTGGTTGCCCAGGATGAGGACTGTCGCCTAATGACTGTGGGTAGCTGGTACGCAATGACAGGTGAGTGTGATTCCCTTTCCCTTTCCCTTTCCCTATCCCTGTCACTTTGTTTGTATTACTGGATTGCTTATTCATCCTTGTTTGTGTTTGATCCTATCCAATATATCTTCTTAATCGCGCTGCCTTCCGTTTATGTTTTCCTTCCATGCCCTATTCGCTCCTTACATTGTCTTGCCTTGCTCACGCTCTCCTTCTCTCTGTTTATCCCTCTGCAGGCTATGGCTTAGCTTTTAGCCGCAATTCCAAGTACGTACAGATGTTCAATAAACGGCTGCTGGAATTCCGGGCCAATGGAGACTTGGAGCGTTTGCGTCGCTACTGGATGACAGGCACCTGTCGGCCGGGCAAGCAGGAGCACAAGTCCTCCGATCCGCTGGCACTCGAGCAGTTCTTGTCCGCCTTCTTGCTGCTAATGGCTGGCATTCTACTGGCCGCGCTGCTGCTGCTGCTCGAGCACGTCTATTTCAAGTACATACGCAAACGTTTGGCCAAAAAGGATGGCGGTCATTGCTGTGCCCTCATCTCGCTATCCATGGGCAAGTCACTCACCTTCCGCGGAGCCGTTTACGAGGCAACAGAGATCCTAAAAAAGCATCGCTGCAACGATCCCATTTGCGACACGCACCTGTGGAAGGTCAAGCACGAGCTGGACATGTCCCGCCTTCGCGTGCGCCAGCTGGAAAAGGTCATGGACAAGCACGGCATCAAAGCGCCGCAGTTAAGGTGAGCCCCAAACCCTCTGGTGAATGCCCTGACCTAGCTGACACTGAAAACCATTTTAGGCTAGCCTCGTCGTCGGATCTGCTCAACCATCACCATCTGAAGGAACGTCCGCCCCTGCTGGGAAACCTCAGCTTGGCTGCCAGCGCACAAGATCTATACAGGTGGTAAGTTTTTTATTACAGTGAAGCTCCCGCATGCTGCTAACCCTGTGTCCCTCAGTGTTGTGTGTATGCTAGCGAGGGAGAGAGAGGAGGCGAGAGAGAGGGGGAGTGCTTAGTCCGTTGAGTCAGCAATTCAATTAAGCAATTGATTAGAATAACAGAGTTCGGTGCTGTTGCTGTTGTCTCCGGCATCTTCCGCTCCCACTTCCAGTAAAAATGTATGGAAATTACTTTATTAAATTAACTTATCTACTGCTTCCGGGGGCAGTCAGACGGTCAGCCAGCCCTGGTCCCAGCTGAAGTAGATCCGGCACACACATTTGCATATCATTTACAGCTCCCTCTACACCACACCCCCACCCCCACCCCCACCCCTTTCGCATGTAGCCAGGTCAGCGACTAAAACCGACGAGATTAGCAAATCAAATCGAAAAAGTTCCTTTTCATGTTGTTGCGAAATCGATGCTGGCTTCGCTCGCTTCCATGGGAAAAGCCACGCTGCCAGCTGTATCAGAGCCACAAAAATTCATCAACCATGCAAATCCGTTTAGTTGCGACAAAAGTTTTATTGTGACGCGGGCATTCGCCAGAAATGTGTAAGCACGGCTTACAGCTGGCTTTAAACAACATTTGGCATGTACTTCGGATTAGCAAATGTTAGAATTGGCCGGCAACAGGAAGTTGCACTTAATCGATGGCAGTCAACTTCAGCCAAATTGGCTAGGAGTCCAGTTGGGGTCATGATAGAGCCATCTGCAGAACATTATTAGCCATCTAACGAAGCCTAGAAGACCTTGGGCAGCTGAGTGAGGGCAATCGGTGTTCCGACCAAAGCGAGCAGCGTAGCTGCTTATAAAGAACTCTGCTAGGTAGATAGATCTCTGATGTTATGCCGGCTAATCGGCCAATTTGTCGAAACTTCCTCCCGCATTAGGGCGAACGCTTTGGGTTTGTTCCTCTGGCTTGTGGCTTAAACAATGAACAGCATTTAGCCAACAAATTGCTGATGCTCTCAACTGGATAAAATCTTGAAATGGAAAGTTGGCCAACTAATTTGCATATGAACATGTGCTTAGATGATCTCCGTGGCCTGCGGAGGAGGTCGGGTCATTTCGCCAAAATATGCTGATGCATAATGTTTACGTTTTCTGCTCACGCATCAGATTAGCCTCGCAGCGCCAAGCCCTTCGCATACCCAGCAAAAGCAAATGCTGCGAGTGTATATTGGCTCTGAGCGAAGCAGGAGGGAATCCTTGAATAAGATAAGAGCCCCCTTAGTTGTATGTCTCTGAGAAGAGCTTTGAATAAATATGTTTGATAGCTCTTGATATTTCCCCAATGCCGATAATTATCGATATATCAAAGAGGCATTTCAAGATAGAAACAAGTGCGTAATACGAATTGCTCTGATAATTGGATACTTCAGCCCCATACAGATGACAATCGCCCTTGCGCTTACATCTATCTCATTTTCAGGTCTTGTAGGTTAGGGTATCTGGCAGTCGGGCAGCTCTTCGAGCTGGCCCGACATGTTTTTTATTTGTTTGATGATGGACGTGGAAGTGGGGCTAAAACTTTTCTGCAAATTGTGCAAATTAAGCGCTTGAATAAAAACCGCCAAAAACTTTGCGGCAAACAACAACAAAACGCAACAAAAAGGGAAATATGAATGCATTTGCATACACGCAAACATACATATGTATGTACAGCATACATTAACATACATGCATATGGATATGAATATGTATTTATTGATATTCATGCCACGTGCTCGAAACTTTTCACAGGCCAAAGGGTCAGGTAAATGCTAAAAATATCTTTTCTTTGCTGCTGCTATTCTGGGCCCGCCCAGAGACCTGTTGTTTCCCAGGGAATTGAATCCGAATACAGTTGCAATCAATAGAAAGTGTTAGCTCCAACTCAGAAATACCCTATCCACTGCCAAGAGAAGTTCAATCATTCAATCAAACCCAGCCACACGCACACATTGAAGTAAATGGAGGACCTGGACATTTGATGAACGCAAGACTTCAACTCGAATCATTGGAAGGTTTCCCGATAGGATATCAGATTCAATCATATCCCATATCTCACTTTTGTCGCATTGACATAAGCCATAGCTATTGTGTTGACATGCTTGCAGGGCATCTGCTAGTCGGTCAAGCCACTCGCTGACCACTTTTTGGCATTAGTTTATTTACTTGCGAGCCCTGTAGGGGCACTGCACACACTCTCATTGCGCTCATTGATTGATGATGTTCAATCGAACTCAAAGCAAGTTCTCTCTCTCTCTCTCGCATTCTCTTCCTCTCTGTGTCTCTCTCTCCTTCTCTCTGTTTCCTTGCAATAGAATAGTTCTCGCATGACCATGGGATGGACCACTGCAGTGACGAATGCTCATCGATTTATGCACTTGTGTGTCCCTAATGAAGCACATTTTCAATTTATTGCACTACACTACTATATATTTATATACTATGTATAGCTGTTGCTATATTTATCCCATATATGTGTTGGTTGTAGCACTCGCATGATTGATATACATATACATATATATGCAAGCATAGCTTCAACTCTATATAATATGCTAACTTTTTGGAGTGTAATTTTCTTGTTTTTTACTGCTGCGGCAACTGCTATCCATCAACATCAATCAATCATCAACACCAAACCGACGTGATTGAAAGGTCTTACAAGACGGAAATCGCTGAAATGGAGACGGTGCTGTGAAGTGTTTACCAGGCATCATTTCCACTGTTTTCTCTAGCCACTTCGATCCAAATACTACAGTAAATAAGTTCAGCGAAACCCACATCCATCCTAGCCTAAACCAAACAGAGCTGCCAACTGATGAAGCACCAGTCATCGTCAAAACCCAAACGAAACTAATTTACATATGATGTAATCAATCCACATCAAGCATAGCCAGAAAAGAGCGGAAGAAACTCAAGCAATAATTTAATTGAATGCCAAATTCTAGGCATTGCCACTAGGACAGTTGGTTCGTCAATCATCGTCAATCACAGTCAAGTAAAACTCTTGTAATTACAACAAAATAAAACATTTTTTTTTATATCTAACTTAAAAACTAAACCAAAGGGCAAACTTATGATATAAGCAGTTCGGATCGACCCGCATCAATCACCATCAATCAAAGCCAAAAATAAGATAAAGAAGAACAAGCAAAAGTGGCAGCGAAACCAAAGTCAAATTTATACAAGAACAACAACTAAAAATTAACAACACTAAAAATTAAAAAAAAAAAAAACATATGCATATATATACATATAAAGTCTCAACAACACCCTTCATATATATATGTATATATATACACCAAAATATATAGATGTATATTTAATCAAAATGTTTCAAATAAATGTAAACTGAAAGCTTTTTAAAAGTTAAAAAAAATAAAAACAAACTTAAAAATAATTAAAGCCCAAAGCGCCTCACACAAACAAAAACGAAAAACTAATAATACAACACAACAGGAACACAAAAAGTTAAAAAGAAGTTGAAAAAAAAAAAATTAAGAAATAAGTTTTAAATGTTAAAAGAATGAAAAAACAAACAAACCAAATGTGTTTTTTTTTTTGCTCGATTGAACTGTGAATGTTAACAACAAATTTTTTTTTTTAAGTATTTATGAAATTATATACGCCAAACTATATAAATATATATGGACAGATATATATATAAAAAGTCGAGCTGCGAAAACTTTCAGTGCCAAATTGAAGTTGTAGCTGAAATTGAGAATGAACTCAAACTTAATTCGAAGCAGAATATTTAAAATGAAAATTCCATTGAAATTGAAGCTGAAACTCAAATTGGATGAAAGTTGAAGCACAGTTGAATTTTAATGAAGGTTGAAAGTGAAGCTGCAATTGAAATTGAATTGAAACAAAAATTGAATTTGAGTTTCAACCTAAGCTTCAAATTGTAATTGAAATTTGAATTTAAAATGAATTGAAATTGAAACGGAATGAATTGAAGACGTACGCATTGCTAAACATATACACTCTAAACTTATTTATATATAAATATATGTATTTACTTAATTATTATGATTACGATATGAATGTTATTGCATATACACGTACATATACATACATTTATTGATATACATGCATACATAAATGTGTATATATGCAAATATATATATACATTTTTCCTTTTTTTTGTGGATAGCAAAACCAGAACTTTAATGGGAATCTTAACTTTAAAGGACATTTCCAAAGAGCTTTTTCTTTAATTTCTTTTTATAGTTTTGATTTTGGGTCCCATTTGCTAATGAATCAACTACTTTAGTAATGCTCTTGGAATAGTGCAGAACTTTTCTCTATGATTTTCTAACCTTTCTCATCTGCCAACACTACTCAACAGTCAACAGTACCATATACTTTGCAACACTGGTCAACACTGCTTGGACTTGCACATGCATTTTTAACACTACTAAGTACTAAATCTTAAGTTAACCGTGCTTATTGACAGACTGCGTATTCGAGGAGCGAGTATATCAAACTTGACTTTGATTTTCATTTCTGCTTGATCTGGATTATCAATATATATACATATGTGTATATCATATAGATATATATATATACATACATATATTTACAAAAAAAAAAAAACAAACAAAACAAAACAAAATAAAATCAAATAAAATAAAATCCATTGTTAAACATTAAATACTTAGAAAACTAAATAAATGAAAACTAAATTTAAATAAATGAAAACAATTTTAAACAAAATCAAAGCAAAAATTAAACAAAACAAAACTAATTACAAAAATAATTCAATGTTTGTGTTGCAAATCGTTTTGATGTCTCTTCTAAATGTTTTTGAAGCTTAAAAAAAAAAATATTAAAAAAAAAAACGCTTAAACTAAATATAATAAAGAAACATAAATTTTAAAAAATAAATGGATGCTTCTTAAAAACGAAAAAAAGAAGCAAAGAAAATGAAGGAATAATTGAGAGAAAATGCAACAATGTTAACAGTAAAAAAAACAACAAATAAAAACAAAAAACATTTTTAGTTTTATTTGCAAAGAGTGATTTTTTGTAGTAAAAATAAAAAATAAAATATTTTATACACAATTAAAATGCAGAGAAAAAAGCTTAAAAAAAAAAACAAAAAGAAAAAAACAAGAAAAAACAACAAACCAAAACAAAATAGTGAAATGTTAATTATTACGTATATATTTTTTAAGACAAATTGTTCACAAAAAAGACAAAAGTAAAAACTAAAAACCCAATTTAGTACTTAAAAAACAAAAACAAAAACTTTACGAACAAATTAAAACAAGTAAAACAAGTTAACATTACATTGTATAAGTAGTTAGTAACTTAACACTAAAGCAGAAAAATAAAAAGAAGAAGAAAACGTAAGATAAGCGAAATGCAAATGTTTTATGTATTATGTATACAAAATGTTGTTTTTTTATCATTATTATTAAATGTTATTCAGTAACGTGAAAGAGGAACCACCCACAAATACACTTGAACACAGTCACTCACAAGCATACACACATATACATATATTCCTTTTAAACTAAACAAAAATAAAAACAAACAAAAAAATGCCATGAAAAAGTAAAAACTCAATAATAAGATTTATAAAAATAATAATGACAAATGAAAGGAAGAATGGATAAAATCTGCAACGAAAATGTATGTTCACAAAAAAAAAAAAAAAAAATGGTTTTTTTCACAAAAATTACACAAAAAAGAAATTGTATTGGCAAAGCAAAACAGAAATGAAAAGAAATCCCATATTATTGAATATGCATTTGATGTGGTAGTCAAAAAAGGCGAAAAACACGTACATTTACGTATATAAAAACAAAAAAAATCTTGCAATAAATGTGTATACAGAAAACCAAATTTTGCTTTTATTTCAATTAAAATAGTGGGAAACTTAACGCGTTTCAGTTATAATGTTCATAGCAAATAGCTTGCTGTCACTCACATTGCTATTAATTCAAGTCATCAGCAGGCCTCAAAAATTATGGAAGTGCCTGACATATTAATATTCTAAACCCATGTCGACCATTAAAGATATTCGGAGGTTAACCAAACTAACATAGTCAGATTATAAATAATTATAAATAATAATGCTATCGATGTTTCTAACTAACCTGCTTTCGATGTTTAAGAAGTACTGTAGCAGCTAGCTTTGTAGCACTCGCTGGCTATCGGCAGCCAATAACCAACACTTATTAAAGTAAGAAAAGATGGAAAGTGTTATCGATGTCTGGCAAAATGCGCTATTCAATATTTTTATCAGTTATCAACACTTATTCAGACCTAGTCGCATTCGCGATGTCCACCACTCGTCCATTTTGTCAACGCTCCCAGCGGCATCCACAACGTGAGTTAAATGGTTTTTACTTTTTAGTTTAAAAAACTCAATTTTCATGCTGAGAAATAATTATAGATAATGCAAACTGGTAACTGTAGAAACTGTACAGTTGAATATCAAATTTATATCTGTTTGATATTGTTTGTATTTGTTTTTGTGTTCTTTTGAATCATGTAGCACGTGTGCATTGTTGAAGTTAGGTTATGTTGCAAAGTGAAGCTAAAATCTGAACTTAATATCAATTGAATTAATTTGTTTTTCTTGTACTACTATTACAGGTTTCGTAACTCTTTCACGTTAAAATGTCGGGAGGCTTAGATATACTGTCCCTCAAAGAGGATGACATTACCAAAATGTTGGTTGCCACTACTCACCTGGGCTCCGAGAACGTCAACTTCCAGATGGAGCAGTACGTTTTCAAGCGTCGTGCTGATGGTGTGAATATCATCAATTTGGGCAAAACCTGGGAGAAACTGGTTTTGGCTGCACGCGCCATTGTTGCCATTGAGAATGCATCCGATGTGAGTAACAAATGAATTATATATATTTGCTTATCGTGAGTACGCTTGTTGCGTTTGGTGCACATGATGAGATTTATCTAATCTTTCGGGTATGAAATTCAATGATTTCAACTTTTCAACTGACACGCCCAAACGCAGCATACACACATTTGGCTGCTCACGCTGTAAATGCCCCGTCCCTGCCATTTGAGTAAGCGCCGTTATAATCTCGCATTTTGATTGCAGGTCTTCGTCATCTCATCGCGTCCCATTGGCCAGCGCGCTGTGCTGAAGTTCGCCAAGTACACGGACACCACGCCCATTGCTGGCCGCTTCACACCCGGTGCCTTCACCAATCAGATCCAGCCCGCTTTCCGCGAGCCACGTCTGTTGGTTGTCACCGATCCCAACACCGATCATCAGCCCATTATGGAGGCGTCGTACGTGAACATTCCCGTTATTGCGTTCACCAATACGGACTCGCCATTGCGCTACATTGATATTGCTATCCCATGCAACAACAAATCGCCCCATTCGATTGGTCTTATGTGGTGGTTGTTGGCGCGTGAGGTGCTCCGTCTGCGCGGTACCATTTCTCGCACCACCGAGTGGCCCGTGGTTGTGGATCTCTTCTTCTATCGCGATCCCGAGGAGGCTGAGAAGGAGGAGGCTGCAGCCGCTAAGGAACTGCTGCCACCACCCAAAATCGAGGAGGCCGTCGATCATCCCGTCGAAGAGACCACCAACTGGGCCGATGAGGTTGCTGCCGAAACTGTCGGCGGAGTCGAGGACTGGAACGAAGATACCGTCAAGACATCCTGGGGCAGCGATGGTCAGTTCTAAAATGTTCATCCGGCCGGAAGCGGCATAAGCGAACTGTCAAGCATAAATAAATGCCAACATTTAAAAAAAAAAAGAAAAAGAGCACATGTGTTTCTATTTACAAACAAAAGATGGCGTCAGTTGGCTGTGAGCGAGATGGTGCGATATTGGCCTAAGGTGGCATGTATTAGAGCAGTGCGGCAACATGCACAAAAACGTTCCAAAACACACGTCGGATACATGTACATTTCCATCAGTCAAGGGTTATATATGTAGTTGAGCTTATACATGCATCATATTTATAGCAATCTAAAAGTAGTTGCTAAATAGGAGTGAGTGGATGCTTTAGAGTTCAGCATATGTGTGGAAGGTATTTATAAAAACGTTCCACGTTTACTATATTCATCCATCATTATAGTGTGTATAACTTGAATCAGCAAGCGCTTGCTTCTGCATTTCATATATCGAAACCTTTAGGGCGTATGCCCAGAGAAATAAGCGAATATTTAAACTCTTAAATATTTTAAATACTCGAGAACAATGTAGATATATGTATTAAAAAAACACGTAGTGTTACAGTATTAATAAATTTATTTTATTTTTTGTTTTGCTTTATACAAATAGAAAACAGTTAATCATTGCTTAGTTATATAGATATACAAGAGCTTTACAATCCAACAGATTGAAACAAAAAAAAAAAGAAAAAGATAAATACACACATATATATATATATATATATTATATATAATTATGTTAACTAGAACTGCGAATACCGTAAACCCAAACTGAATAAATGAATGAATGATCAATAATATATAATATATATATATATATACATATATCTTCCGAGTCTCGCTCGTAATTATATATTAAAAACAATTATAAAAATTTTATGAGATTTGTTCTAGGTTCAAAATCTGTTCTATATATAAGCAATGATTCATTAGAATATCGGAACTCAAGAGAAAGAAAAAAAAAAAAACAAAATATATCATTTAGAAAAAATATATATGTGTGTATGTGTGTGTGAGTGTGTGATTACTATTAATATTATTGTTTTTTTTATATCATTATTATTATTTATTGTAATTTAGTTATTTAAATGGATTTGGACGAGCTTTAAATTCCGTCATTTTGCGCAGTTCCTTAACTTCCTCCATTTCTCTTTGCTTGCGTTGTTCGTCTTGCTTGAAGAATAGAAGAGAGAAATCATAATATTAGAAACTAAAACAAGGATTCAATTGGATTACTTAAATCAGGTTACTTAGGTAGAGATATGTTCTTACTCTATCTCTCTCTCTCTCGCTCTCTGTCTATCATATTATTTTGAATTTAACTGGAGTGTATAAAAGCTCCTTTTATTTCCTTCGCTCCCCAATCACGCTCGCATCTACTCAATATCAGACTCCACCCCGTTCTACATACATATATGTATACATACATACATATGTACATGTTACTCACTTTATGCACTTTGCTCTTTCGCTTTGCTCACTCAATTAAGGCGAATAGTTAGGCGGATCATTCATGTGGTGAATACCTGAAGTGATCCATTGGTAGCAGAAGACAGACAACACAGAAATGAAACGAACCGTACAAAGCACAGTGAAAGCTCTGAGAAGGCAACAGCCAAACGGCAATCTAGTGTAGACGAGTCTTATTAGGTACGCAGATCAATTGATATACAAAAGAATAGGAATTAGTAGTAAAACATATCCAAATATTGCCTTCAGCTGTTTCTGTGTACGCAAAAAAACTTTGAGCTCTAGCTCCAGCTCTGGCGCACTTTGGCATTGCTGGCGCAGCGGACAAAACATGTGATCAGCTGATGCCAAGTCTGGCTAACCCATGGAATATAGTTTTATATATGTATGTATATATTCATTTATGAGTAACAATTATCATTGCATTTGTATTGTGTGTCAATGCAAATAAGTTGAATGAAATACAAAGAAATATCAATGCAAAAGAGTGAGAGAGAAGGAGAGACAGTGGATGTGATGGGCGAGTCGGTGCCCGTGTATGTGTGTGCGTGCAATACAATAATATATACATTGTGTATGAATGAATCTGTAGATTGCCAACAAGTAGACTAAAATGCAATATGCAAAACAAGCTTGGATGGTGACCAATACAGTGCGAGCGAGACAGCGCACGCAACAGGCGAACGAGTGTCTGTGCCTGTGGCCTTGCATGCTCTACGCATGAAGTCCAATCGAAAGGAACAGTTAGTAAGCTGACAAACAGAGAGCGCGCAAGAGAGCATGTGACAACAATTCGTATGTGTGCGTATGCATGTGCGAATTCGCTTCGTACATATACATATGCACATGCATGTAACAGGAAGAAAGCAGCACAGTTTCGCTAGTGCTGTGAGGCGACTTCGATATGGGGGAAGCTTTCGTGGGTGAGTTGTTGTACATATTTTATTAAGCTGTTATATGTGTAGTGTTATATGCGTGTAAACTGTTACGTGAATCATATCTAGATTAAGCTAGATTTAGCTCCTTTGGCAGTTTAAAAATGTTATACCTATGCTTTTAAATGCCCTAAATAAACTGTTTTTGGATGCATCATATACTTATTTAGCCCAATCTCTTGGACAGACACAGGAAACGTATATACTCAATGCTCGTTCATTGAACAGTGTACAGCAATTATCTAGCAGCAGCAACAGCGGCAGCAGCAGCCACTGAAGCTGATAAGATTAGCATAAAACTTGAAATGGAATTCGAGGCAAAGCAAAGCAAGGCAAAGACGTATGCGAATCGGCATATCAAATTTTTTTATACGCAACGGACGTGGACGGAGAGAGCTCTATACGTATGTGTGCATATCCCCCTGTGGATGTATGTATGTATGACTCCCCCTCTATCTATACGCATACATATATACATATATATGATTCTTGAGTAGTACCAGTAATCCAGTTCGCATTCAATTTGCCAGCATCGTATTCTGTTTTGTTTCTCTTCCAAAACTGTTATACACAGCATTTGTGGCTTCAGACTCAGCAATTGACTGAAGCGGGGGCGGCGGCGGCGGCGGAGGGTGTGGCTGTGGCAGGTGTTGCTGTTGTCGTTGCTGCAATCGCTGATGAATTAGCCGTCTGCTCATCCGCCATAGACATGCTGTTGTCGCCATAGAAGCGCGGTTCGTCATGCGCCTCAGTCGAGCCCGGCAGATCCTCGTCGGTATCATCGTCATTCGAACTGTCTGCTGCTCCACTTATGTTCAGCTTCGAGGCCCGCTGCTCCACGGTGCCGTCCGAATCAGGTGCGTGGCGCAAGCGATCGTAGCAAGCATCGCAGACCCTCAGCGCTTTGCCAGTTTGTTGAGGCAAGAGGAACTTCTTGGTGGAGCAAGCGGCGCAAACGACAGCACCGCAGTTTCGGCAATGGTGACGCCGCTGAACAAATGTGAACTGCGTCTTCTTGCAGTGCATGCAAACGCTGGCCTCAGCGTCGGGCACCCAAACGGCAGCGTGGTTTCCCGGCGGTTTCTTGCCGCTCTTGCGCAACAGATCCTCCACACATTTGTTTATATGGGCCATCCACTCCTGCTTCTCTGTGCTGGTGGCGGCATACACGACGAAAGACTTCGTCGTCGTGCGTATATACCAGCCATTGCGGTACTGCTGGTTGTCGGGTATCGAGTCCAGGGAAACTTCCTCGAGCGGCATTATGTGTTGTTTGTTGTACTTTTTCTTTCCAATCACAATGTTGCCATAGACCAGTATGTCGTTGAAGAGAAAGAATTGCCGCGACTTTGGACGTTTGCGACACATTTTGGTCAGAACACCTTCGCCGACTAGAACGCGTCCGGGTATCGCCAGCGGCACTCCGGAGCTGCCAAAGCAGTTCTCGACGGAGGCAATGCGACGGGTGTTCAATTCCGAGTTAACGAGACGATCAACCATTTTGCTTCTATTTTCTCTTCAAATTTTTATCTGCTTGCTGCAGCGAAAGTGGCGCCACCTATCCGTTTGGCCAAAAGCTTTGTTTACAGTTTACAGTTTTTTCCTCTTTTCTCTACAGACTGTTGCTTCACTGGCCGTGGCGTACTTCAACTGTGACGACGACGACGGCGGCGACACTAAGTTGTTTTTGTTGTTGATGTTGCTCCAAGTATGTGTATGTGACGGTGTGCGTGTGTGTGTCAACATATATAGATATATATGTACATATTTATACTTATATATATATATATATATGTGTGTGTGTGTGTGTGTTTATGTGTGTGAATTTGGGCGCAGCAGCTGCTTTGTGTCCTTTTTACAATAATTTCAAGTTTTGTGCTTAGTTTCGTTTCTACCAAAATTTCCTTTTTTTTAGTCACGCGTTGCGCTCTTTATGCAATATATATATATGAATATATATGTGCACAATATAACTGTTTTCTACGCCGTCCGTTTACCGAAACGTCATGACTCACACCACACACAAACAACAAGTATGCATACATACATATGTGCACAACATGCAGCAGTACACGACTATATTAATATATAATTTTTTTTGCTTTTTTGTTTTTGTGTGTTTTTTTTTTCTTTCTGTATGGTTTCACTTAGAGAGTTAACTTTAAACTCATGTAGCGTGTTGACTTTTCTTCTGAATTTTTACTCAACAAACTAGCGATCAAATTAAAACTGAGTTGCTCAAAACTTCAATTTCGCTTCATCTGCTGAATGGCAGCTGGTAACGCAAGAATGAGTCGCTGCATAGCTATGTTAACGCAGTGTAGAGCACTGATGCATAATTATCGCAGTGTGGCATTGACTACAGTGTTGCATTGCAACACTGTGTAGTGACAGTGTGTGACCAGTCTACAATATCATTTAATTTTATACAAAAAGCTCAATATTTACCTGTTTCTTTTTCTCATCCAGATTACACTGGACAACATTATTGTACTCGCGCCGTTCGCGTACGCGCTGATCGGCGCGCAACTGAAATGGCTTCACTTCGGCGAGGCCAGCTCTTCGTAAGTTTCTGGCATTGTCATGTTCCTGTTGCAACAATTTCGAATTCTTGGAGAGAGAATTAAATATATGCTGTATAATAACAATATCAATATATGTGCATTTGACCCTTACCTCTTCCCTGCGTTTCCGCCGCTGCAAATGCTCGTAGGAATGCTTCAATGTTTCTGGCGTCACAGGCACTGTTATCTTATGGGTAACAATTGTGTCCGCCAAGCGTTTGTGCAATGCCTTAAAATTTGGCACCGGTTTGCTGTGAAATTCACGCGCCTTACGCTCCTCTTCCTCTCGCTGGCGCATAATCATCTCCCGCTTCATCTGATAAACATCCTTGCATTCGTAAACCCTGGGCGCCTTTCCGGCAGACACTGGCTCGTTTTGACTTTTCGGCTTGGGTGTCCAGTTGAGTTTCAGCCTGGGCTTCAATCCAAGTATTTCATTCACCTCCATTTCCTGGTCACTTACTGATTCTGCTTGTTTGGGAATCGGCAACGATTCCAGTTCGTCTCTTTCGCCTTGATGGGAATCTGTTGACAAATCCAACTGCAGCTGCAACTGCAGCTCAGATTCAATATGTACGATATAATCTTCATTCAAGTTTTTATAAGATGCGGATTGATCCTCTTTCTCTTCTTGTTCAGCTTTCCCATCATTCGTATTCCCTTCATTCAAATTCTGATAGCAAGCCGATTCATCCTCAGGCCCATCCTCGCCAAGCCCGCCAGTAGTTCTCAGCTTTACTATATCCTCTACATTTAAATTCTGATCACAAACTGATTTATCCTGTAGCGCATCCTCGCGAATCAGTTCAGTAGTTTTTATCTTTCCTATGTCATCTTCATTTAAATTTTGGTCACAAACTGATATATCCCGTTGCTCCCGCGTCATCTTCTCATTGTTACAGTTGAATTGATCGCCCATGTTTTCCTTGTTGGAAGAGGAGGCTGTCACAAAAAACATATATGTCACAACATTCACTGTAATCGACCTTATATCGCCATACCGCACATATCGTTTGAATATTCCATTTTATAGTCGGCCGTCTTGGGTTCATTCCAGTCGATATTCAAATTTCCGCTCTTCGAATTATTATAGTTATCCATAAAATCTATTGAATCACCCAGCGCGTTCGCCCTGTTTGAAGAAGCAGCTGCTAAAATGGCGCATTTTTTGTTGAGTTAACTGTAAATTGTATGTACACTTTATGTACATACCAAAGAAGTTTTGCGAGTGATCTAGATTATAGTCGCCAACGCTTATTTCGTTCCAGTCGAAATCGGTCTTCTTGTATTCGCTATTACTTATATTAGCCATATTACTGGATAAGTATAACGCGTCGCTAAAAATTCAAACAATACGAAAACAAAGACAAGCACACTTTCAATTTATAGAGTTGCTCAATGATTATCGATAGCTTGAGTATGGATTCATCATCGATTAAACGGTTGCATTTCAATTTCAATTGCAACTTGCAAGTGACCACTATGGTTATTGAAGTGAACAAACCAGGCTCAAGATTGTTGAAAATATTTTCCTGTGTAACGAACTACAATGTCGAACGTCTCAAATGATGTTGCTTGAATACCAATTGAAAATTCTGTAATAGCTATTTGCCAGAGATATACAAATATATCAAGCTGTCAATCGCTTGTATATATTTGAAGTTTATTATAACACCTAACAAATTTCAAAATATAATTAATATACATAATAAGTGTATATGTTTGAAGCAACTTAGTACGCTAACAGTCCATCGTACAGAACATCATTTGTTAATATTTGTAAAATCTTTCCGGGTGGACTCAGTCTTCGCAAACAACATCCAACATGGGTGCCACTTGAATTATATAATTACGTTTGGTACATTGCGAGCTAATGCTAATTACGACAAGCTATCGATGAATCCTATGATGGAATACCTCTAAAAGCGCATACCGCCAAGTACATTTAAGCGTTTTGTTTTCCTCGTACTCGAATCGCCCTTGTGTTGGCGCTTGCGCGGCAGAAGAGGTGAATGATCTATGGCCGGCTGCACTGCATCCTCATCGCAGTCATCGCTGGTGTTGCTGAAGAGCGTTCGACGGACACTACGAGGTGCCGGCACCTCGCCCTCGTCGTCGGTTAACACATTTCGTGCCCTTCGCATCCGCGAATGACGTTGAACGACGGGGGTCATCGAGTTCACCTTCTCGTAGACAATCAGACAAATGTCTGTAGAGGTATGATCTTTGTCTACGAGTGTAGTGTCGCGATAGCCTAGCGTTAATGACATCTGACAGTTTTCACTAAGTTCAATGCCACCGTCGCTATGGTCATGCGATGCCTGTAGTGATCCACTGGCTGTGATACAGTGCATCACCTCGATGGTGTCAGCCGACACACAGGAGCGTGGAGGTGTTATCAACTGGTTGGCACAGCTTCCACTTGCAGTCTCCTCCTCTTCCACCTCTTCGTCGCTTTCGGCACGCAAATGCATCGATGTTGGCAGCACTTCTGGGGCTTTAAATCGATCGCGCTGCGATTGAAAGCTACGTCTGAAGCGATCTTTAAGCGCGGATTCCTCTGACTCATTACATTGCCGCGCATTCAAAAACTCTATATGATTATACCGTCCTACGAGTTGTGCGCGCAAATAACTAGACACTGGCCCAGCGCCCTTTAAGCAGCGTCCGGGAAAAGATAAAATACAATCGTCGGACAGCTCCCTGCGTATTTGGCCATCTTCCATGCATTGTAGAAACCGTCGAAACAATTGGCTGGACGCTAAGAATATTTATGTACATATAAAACGAATTGATAAAACCACTTTTCTTATTCACCTGGATGCTCCGCTGTTTCTTCTTCGTGCATTTTGAATGAGTTTCTTTATATAGACAACAATAAGCGGAATAAATGTTTGTTTATGCGCTATAAGTAAACAGCAACGTTGCATATGTACGAATCGCGATCTGTATCGATTAATTACGCGTATCGATATATTAAAAAATATACGTTCATTTATTGAGAATCAAAAGTGAACTGCTATGAATATTTCACAATTACACATTGACTGATCACACCTCTCTATATATATGTATATATAAATATATAAAATAAATATATAAATATGTATTCCATAAAAAATTGTGTTTATAAAAAAATATATGTGTGTAAATTTGCTGTATGCCATTTAAAATTGTACTTTATAATCGTTCGGTTTTTGTACTAGAATTGCGGCGACCAGTCGATATATTTTAGTCATATATTTATATTTCAAAGCAAAAGTATGCCCAGACGCAAAAATAATAAACCTACTGCATGTATTTAAAATTCAATTTGAGTTATCAGACTTATAATATTATATATACAATTTTTATGAAAACTAAAAATTTCTTTACGAATCGCGCACGATATATTTATACCATTTTTTTTTTGTTTGAATAAGTTTCGATATGGGTGCCAACAATAGCAAACCGCAAACTGTTCAAATACCAAATACATCACCATTTCAAATCAGCCGGGAAGTTTTGGAGCGCGTCGAGAAGGCAACCAAAGCGGAAAAGGGACCCGCCCCCGTTACAAATCCAGTTCAAGTACCCGTCGCTTCCACCTGTGAGCACTGTAATCGTAAAGGTGCAGCAGCTGGAGATGCAGCTGGAACGGGCAGCAGCGATGAGATGCAAACTTATCAGCAAAAGCAGATGGAAATCTCTTCATCGTGGGCACGGCGCTCAACAGAAATTGAGGAGGCACAATTTACTAAAACATTAGATCGTGTGCACAATTTGTTCGGACAGCCAATTAAATGGGCCAAGGCCAACGAATGCTCGGCGGATGTCGATAAAATGGAAAAGCAATTGATAAGCTGCTATCGCCAGTACGGCAAGGAGCCGTTGAAGTGCGCTGCCTTGGCTAAAACATATCACACCTTCATCTTCAATAAACAGGTTACCGCTGTTAAGCGCACAGCGCACGATGTGCAGGATGTAAAGGGAGACGATGCTAACTGATGATTGGTTCCTCTTGCTCGATCACCAGTAAAATAAAACGAATGCGTGTTAATGAAATATCTTGGACATTTAAAATATAACGATCACATTTAGTCTACATATCCGATGTACCCAATTCTAGAGTTTTAAAAACGCTCGCAACAATTTAGATCATACATCTCCAACCGTTTAGATCATCAACAATTTTCGCAGCTTTCAACTATCAACCCACTCAATTTAGTACAGCATTAGACACACTCACACTCACACACGCAGACTTCGAGGGCTTCAAAAGCTTTCGCAGCTTTCAGCCGTCAGCACGCGCAGACAGCTGACGCAAATCATTTTTGTTATTTAGTTCATTGCAAAAAGCAGCGCAGCAGCGACGTTCCGGCGTCTCTGGCGTCCTATGCACATAGTACTAAAAACTAGCATAATAATAAGTCTAATTCGTTTATAACTTAAGCAAGACATACATAGGCATACGCATGTGTGTGTGTGCGCTTACATATGTGAGTACGCGATTTACAAGGTGGCAACACGACGGCCAAGGCGTTTCTACAAGATACACACATACACACTTAGAACTTATCTGTAGCTTATCAAGCTTGTAAATGCCGATTCGCATAAATCTGCGGAACAGCATACAATTACATAAATACGCATATGAGCTGTGCGTACGTGTGCATGCGTAACGTTTGTTATGACACAGGCAAAGTGCCGCCCCGTTAGCAAATTTGATATGTAGAAATCGTACATACATACATACATATGTATTTGCATTTCTACTTGTGTAGAACGAGTTTAATAATAATTTATGACAATTTTGTACATTGAATTTCTGTAAGCACACACACATATGCTTATGTGCATATGTATATAAATAGCAACATCCCCATATGAATATATGTACGTACATATGCATGTGTGCTTCGCCAATCTCCTAAAAGACAGCATTAACCAATAAGCAAGCTTCCCGTTAGTAAATTTGCATAAGACGTTGCCTGATATTTGGCCATATTGTATCATTTTATTTTTTGACACAGACGAATTTGTATTAGAGTGTATTCGCACACCCTTGACATCCGCTACGTCCGTCCCCATCTGTCAACTGCCAAAAAAAATTGAGGAAACGGAAAAGCTTTTGCACGATCGTGCAACAAAATGCATTTTCAATGACAATTGTATTATTTAATTTTTTTTTTTTTTTTGGTGGCGAACTATTTGTAGCTTTCAGTATGCGTGCAACCATAGTGACACTTGGTCGCAAATAAATATACATTTGTTAACAAATTTAAGTTCAAATACAGTGAGAAATAGTGCAGCATCAAATTGCGCGCCTGCCTTCACGAAACAGCTGACAGCGCAGCAAAACCAAAAGCAAAGGCAAACACAAAAACAAACAAAAACGCAAGTACAGCTCAATACCGAAGGCTTCGGCACGCGAGGCCCAGGGGTCAATTGCATACACGCATTTCATTATACACATGCACATATACATACATACGTATATGTATGTACATATGTGCATCTGTAATATAAAGGGGTATATTTATATACATACATATATAGTATATATATACATATATATGCATATGTATATAAAATTAAATTATTGACTATTTATGAATACATATACATATACATACATACATACATGATCCATGATTACAAAATTGCAATGAATAGCGAAAGAAAAAAGCACAAGTATAATTCATGAATAAAGCTTCTCCTGCTCCTCTCTGAGCCCTATGTTTTGGCCTTGACACTTGCTAACGAGGGAAGGGTATAATTATGTGCCATATGCTCAATTAGGCATGATATATTGTTTATATTGATGTGTGTATGTGTCTATGTAGTCGCCTTCGACGTCGACCTCGTTGTTGTCTTAGCCTTTGGCTTGCCAACGACTGTCTATTTAACGCTTTTGCTCCTCAGTGCCTGCTCCTTAGTTTAGTTAGTGTTTAGTTAGATTAAATGCCGGCTAAAATGTTGTCCAAAATGCACCCCATGGCCAAGGGCATGATGACCTATGCCCTGCTGTGGCCCACGGGCAGCCTCATCCAGCAAACAATAGAGGGACGCAACTTCAGTAAGTCCACAAGGGATTGCTCTAAGATAAATCCAATGTCCATTATCCATTATTATTGTCCATTATCCAATTCCGATTTCCCTTCCCTTCCCAGAGACATTCGATTGGGCACGTGCACTGCGCTTCAGTCTCTTTGGCAGCCTCTATGTGGCGCCCTGCCTCTATGGCTGGGTGCGTCTCACCAGTGCCATGTGGCCGCAGACGAATCTGCGCATTGGCCTGCTCAAGGTGAGTAAGAGTGCTGCGGGATCGACATGGCGGACAGATTGGCAAACTCCTTAACTGAACATTCCAGGCCGTAACGGAGCAACTGTCCTATGGCCCCTTTGCCTGCGTTAGCTTCTTCATGGGCATGAGCCTGTTGGAGCTGAAGACCTTTGAGCAAGCCGTTGCCGAGACCAAGGAGAAGGCCCTGCCCACATACAAGGTTAGCTGGCTTTGAGGCCGTGGCCGGAGGTAGTCAGTATCTAACTTGGCTTCATCCTTGACAGGTGGGCCTCTGTTGTTGGCCCATTATACAGACCATCAACTTTTCGCTAGTGCCGGAACACAATCGCGTTATCTTCGTCAGCTTTTGCAGCCTCCTTTGGACTATATTCTTGGCATACATGAAAACGCGAACAATGGAGCCGGACCACGAACAGGTACAGGATAGGGAGCAGGAAGAGCATCATCAGCTACCAGAGATCGAGCTGCTTACATAGCTGTTCTATTTTTTGTTCATAGAAGAGAGGAAGCACGCGAAAAAGTTGACCCAGTGCAGCAGCTACAGGGAAGGCAGGAGATGCAGATGAGGCTAGGGAGACAGCAGCAGCAGCTATCAGAGATCAAGCAGGATGCTGTCCTTGTTTTCATTCTTGATATTCTATATAGAAAGACAGGGTAGGAGTAGACCATCTTCCGCTTGGCGCAGAAGACAGCTAGAAGCAGGTGCAGCTGCTGGAGACCAAATATAGACAGCTGCTGCTGTTGCTGTAGACCGATTCAAGACTTTTCTCTTCTATTGTATATAAAAGGGTTTGTATTTAATTTAGAACAAATTGTTGTTTAGGTGAATAAAATGCATTTAAGTACAAACGTGTTAATTGGTGTCGAGTGGAGGTGGCTCGCGTGCCACAATCAGGTTACCGATCCAGAGCCGTGAATGCTGTGGGTCATTCCGACCCACTGTCTGCCGTATCCAATCAACGTAGGCGGAGACTTCGGTGAAGACGCCCGGGTAGGGTGGACGTGTGCAGGGCTTCACACTCCACGAGACGATGCCGATTTGGGTGTCCAAGGAAGGCAACAGCAGTGGGCCACCCGAATCACCACTGCACTGCCCCTTCCAGCCCTCGGGCAGGCCAGCGCAGAGCTGGCTCCGATGCAGCTGCGTCTGATGACGCCGACTGCACTCCTCGTCGCTGAATACGTGCAGCTGCGCCTTCTGCAGCTTCACTTGCAACGCGCCTCCAGTCTGCAAAGTGTAAAGAAGGGATGAATAGTTAGAGAACCAAGTCACTGGTGGTGCTGATTACAAACCGCATTCAAGCCCCAGCCAGCGAGCACGGCGCTGCTATTCTCTTCGATTTGCTGCAGTGGCTCGGGCAGCCGGACAGGCTGCACATTGCGGCTATAGAGGATGGGCACCTGCAGCTGCAGCAGCGCTATGTCATGTATGTACTTGTCCTCCGGCTCGTACCCGGGATGCACGTGTATGGCCGCTATCCAGGCCAGCTGGCTGGCATTGCGGTCGATTTGATTGCTACCATACTGCACATTCAACTGCTCTGGCTTCGAGCCGCGCACACAATGCGCCGCTGTCAGCACCCAGCGCGAGTTCAGCAATGTCGCTCCACAAGAGTGCGCGCCCGTTTTGGCACGGCGCAATGACAACTGAAGAGGAACAGAGTGTGTGAATTGAAGAATTCCTCTGATTATTCTTTGGATTTGCTTACGGCATAGGGAAACTCGCCTTGGGCAGCTAGTGTTCCATTAACTATCTTGCCATCCTGCTGATCTTCTTCCGCTCCTGCTAATGCTTCCTCAACTTTCTTGCCTTCTGCTACTTCTCCATTGGAAACCTTGCCGAAGGCAGTCTGCCGTTCTTCTCCTGCTCCTGCTTCGCCTGCAGTCACTCTGCCGAGCAGCAATCCAATCACAATCAGCAGCAGTGTACACCAAAGGCGTGTCATGTTGTTTGATTAGAGCTAGGCAGGCAGCCATTGCATTTATTTAACCCGTCTCCCAGCGGGGCTTTTACGCTAAACTAGTTAGCCCGCATGCTAGTAGGTCAATTGGCCTTTGGGTTTCTGCAAGCTGAAAGCGTGACTTGATTTACATGCATTTACATTAATTACGCACTCACTCACACACAGGCAGGGAGATGGCTTCCTCAGTGCTGTGGCAACAGCTGAAGAGCTTCATCGTGCGATATCCCATTGCGCGTGGTATGATATCGTATAGCTTGATCTGGCCCACGGGCAGCCTGATACAGCAGACATTTGAGGGCAAGCGCTGGGGTGAGTTTCACACATATACGCCTAATATATAATATATCTTATGTGGATATATTTGCGATGCAGGCAATTACGACTGGTGGCGCGTCTTTCGCTTCAGCATGTACGGTGGATTGTTTGTAGCGCCCACGCTCTATGGCTGGGTGAAGGTAACTCAACAGTTTCATTGCCGACTTCCTTCTACATCTGTTTTCCTCCACAGATCTCCAGTGCTATGTGGCCACACACATCGCTACGCTATGGCGTTATTAAGGCCGCCGTGGAGACCATTTCATATACGCCCGCCGCAATGACCTGTTTCTATTTCATCATGAGCTTGCTGGAGTCAAAGACGGTGCAAGAAGCTGTCGCCGAGGTTGGCAAGAAGTTTCTGCCCACCTATAAGGTATTTAATCCAATATAAATAAACATTTATATAAAATATATATTTATATTTTCATGCCAATCAGGTCGCCTTAGCTGTTTGGCCTTTGGTAGCCACCATCAACTTCTCTTTGATACCTGAGCGGAACCGTGTGCCTTTTATTAGTGTCTGCAGCTTATGCTGGACATGTTTTTTGGCTTATATGAAACACTTGGAGCACCATGAAGTGGATCAAGTTATTTAATTGTGTTTTTTTGTTTGTTATTGTAAATACTAGCTTTAATAAAATAGGGAAGATAAACTACTGGTAAACAAGACTAATGTGTGGCCAGCGGATCTGAAAAAAAAAAAACAAGAAACAAGAAATATACTAAATATCGATAAAACAACAATATCTACAGTGCGATCCGCAGATTAAACATCGTATAAAATATTATTTGAAAATTTACTACCTTACTTCAACACTTCGTGTATGAAATGCATAATTATTTTTATTTTAACAATTTAACAATTTGTAGCTTTTACATAAAAAGTATTGATTCTGCAAAAAACCAGTACGATCTTAAATTTCGATATGACAGCTTTTATCGCTAGTATCGCTATTATCGTAAGCATCGCTTCTACTTTTGTCATCCCTAGCCCCACCTTGCAGTTGGGTGTGTGCAACGAACTAATTTGTTTTTCAGTTGTTTATTGTTTGTAAAGCTAGTTTTTTTTCATATTGTAAGTAAAGTACCTTCGAAATGCGCAATTTGGGCAAACAGCAGTCGCAGGACACCACCGACACAAGCGTGGAGAAGGGCGACTACCCGCGTGCGACAAGTAAGTGACGCAGCCAACGTTTGTTGTTTATAGCTGAACAAATAACTGTATTTGCATGTGTTTGTGTGTGCCTGCAGATGGAGTCGTCTTTGGAGCAATTGTCACGTTTGCCAGCTTCTTTGTATTGATGATGTCCTTCTGCTCACCGTATTGGATCGAATCGTATGAGGAAACACGCAGCAGCTTCAAAAACATGGGCCTCTGGCAATACTGTTTCAAGAACTTTGTCTATCCGAACTACCAATTCCCCAAGCAGTTCACAGGCTGCCATTTGATCTTCTCACATGTAAGTAATTCCACTGTGCTTATATGCGACTCTATTTGTGTAAAATGTACTAAAACATGATATTCGTTATGTTGTTGTCTTTAACTGATCTAAAAAGTGTTCTATTAAGTACTAAATATATCAAGCGTAGCACTTGTTGCACTTGACTGCTATGGTACTATAGATCACATAATACTAAATGTCTTATGTTCATCTAGGAGCTCTGATCTCATAGCTGTAATAATGCACTAATTGCTCTCGATTGTTTTAGGATTATTATGTGATACGTGAATATCTGCTGCCTGGTTGGCTGATGGCCGTACAGGGATTTGTAACAATGTCATTCATCATAGTTTTCACTGTGCTGACACTGCTCTCGCTCACCATTACTAGATTGCCCTTGAAGCCTGTGCTGCAGTACGAATGGCTGCTCATACGCTTGTCCTACATAGGCACAGCCGTGTCCTGTAAGTAGATGGTGTTCCTATATGTATATATAGACTAACTGTTGCGTATTGCAGCGCTGTTCATGTTCTTGGCCGTCTGCATCTTTGGCGGCTGTGCTTATCGACGCGACTGGCTAATGTATCCGAAATTCAATGTGCTTGGCTGGTCGTACGCCCTGGCCGTGGTAACCTTCATGCTATTGGGCCTGGCTGCTCTCATACTGCAGCGCGAAGCCCGCCAGGCCTACGAGGCACGCGGCGAGCAAAAGAATCTGGTGATGCAGATGGAAATGCAGGAGCCTGGCTATCAGCCACCGCGTCATCATCATAGCCAATCGCGCAGCCTGCAGGGCTACATATAGTTATTAACCATATGCAGAAGCTTTGTATTCAACTTAACGCAGCTCGACTTCAATTCCATTTACAAGAAACATTTCGAAACGCCGTCCAAGCAGAACTTTTTCTGCACCCAGAATCTCTTCTATTTTTTTTTTTTCTAATTTAACCTAAGTGCCTTTTGGAAATTGTAGTGCAAATTTGTATACTTAGTTATATCAGTGTAACAACCGTCCATATATAGATCTATATATATAAATATTATATGTACATTGTAAATCTGTCCAATTTGCCTATCAAATCAAATTCGAATTCATACAACTTTTGCATTTATCTCTATTTACATTGACTGTATCTATAGATCTGTGTCTCGATTATATATACATATATTTACTGATTATCTTCAATTTAAACATATCTATTTATACACAAATATTCAAACATTTACTGTAAGTGCAAAAAGTTTTACAAAAGAAATACAATTCACAAAATACGATTGCAGCTTTGATCTATTTGATATTTTGTGTTTAATATATAGTTGGTATAGGTATGTGTCATAAAACCATGCTCTGCCTCTATCTCTCCTCTCTTACTCTAACTCTTTTTCTTATCTGACCTCTGTCGTAATTTTGCTGATAGTAAAATAACAATTGCCAATTGGAGCACAAATCGTTGCCGCTGTCGATTGCCATCGAATATTCAGTTCAAGCTGCGCGTTGACTAAATTCGGTTGTGACACAAACAATAACAAAAGAAAAAAAAAAAAAAAGAGGCGTGAACTCTACTTCTGTTAACTTCTTTTTTCTGTTATTTTTTTTATTTTTATTTTTTTTTTTATTATTGTCCACGTTGGTCTAAACGTTATAATGCGTGGTTTCCTTTATCTCTACTGTTGGCTAGTTATTTCTGGACAAATTTGTAAGCCAAACAATTCTAGGAATCAAGTATACACCCACACATACATATATACCCACCTATAAATATATACATACGTCTATATACATGTACATATATAAAAAATGATCTGTGTCTTGGATATGGGATTCTAATATCTTCGTTTTCATTTGTCAAAAATTGACCATCTCTCTTCTATCTATATATACATATATATATCTCTCTCTCTTTCTGTTTGTCCTCTAACACTTTTCCTTCAGCTAACTCTCCTCGCTCTCCGAGAGAGACAGACAAAGTCTCTCTAGGCTTATTTCTGCCCGCCTCTCTCTCCCTCCCTCTCTTCTGTCTATTTCGACTCGCTCTTATATCATGTTCTATGCCATATCTCCTATTATTTATGTTCTTAATTTAATGTGCTTTTTCAAATATTTTGATGCATTAGTCATATTCTAGGAAAAGCGTAATCTCTAGCTCTCTTTATCGCTTTCTCGTTCTATTCTAATGGATTGGCCATAGACCGGCAAGTGTTGTAAAACTTGCTTCGATTTCCCACTTCACTTGAAATATCTGAATTTTATAATAATTATTTATAAGCCCTGCATATAAAGATAATGTTATCAACGGACGAACTCTTTATTATATATACATACATATGCTATGGGAAATGATCTATTGTTAAATAACGTAATAGAAACATAAATTGAGAGAAAATATACATACATGTAGATATTAATTTAGACATATGTATATACATAAATTGATATAGAGAAAGGAGGGAAACACAATTTGACGGAGGTATATGGCTCTGTTTTAACTTAAACGATGAGATGACACGGAAAATTTTGGTATTATTATATGGTAGAGTGGATAAAGTTTGTAAACCTGACCTATACACTGTGTTATTGTCTCTGCACTTCTCTACTGATAAAGGGACCTCCATCTGGCTGTACAACTTATCCAGGTACCCTTCCGACTTATCCGCTTTATTCACCACTTTATGGGGCAGTACAGAGTTACAATAGATCGATATGTTAGGGCTCATATCTACATATACAGAGTTATCTGCCTGCTCAAGGGTATTCAGACTTCGACGTTCGTAGATAAGTGCATGCCTTGGTTGTTAATCATCGGCTGTGTCGTGTCTTGCCACTGTGACAGAGCGGAAATTGACGTAAAGAAAAAACAAGCGTAATAGATACGGCGGCAAGGCCAAAAGCGTACCCACTTTTCGGGTGGACAGGCGAGAGGGCAGCAAACTTTTTGATTACAAGAGTTGTCAAGTGCGCATTCGAAACTCTCTCCCCTTCACTTTCACTCTCTGCCTTTCTCTCATTTGCAGCTACTAAAGAGTTTCTTTCACAGACGCTCAGGTGCCAGAATCGCGCATTATCAATGGAACTGTGGCCAGCGTAGCAGACACGAAGCATATGGTTTCCATCAGGCTAAAGAAGAACGATCGCAACTTTGGCAGTGGCCACATCTGCGGAGGCTCTTTGATAGGGCCTAACAAGGTCCTAACTGCCGCCCACTGCTTGTTCAAGTGAGTAAAAGTAGGAGCTAGGGGATATGAGCCGAGAAAGCGAGCGAGAGAGAGTCTTCTTTATCCAAATGTCTGCATGCAGAGGGAAGGGAACTAGAGCGCTATGGGAGCTATAGAGATTGAAACAGTATAGTATCTATGGAGGGGGAGATGAAGAGAGCGGGAGTACTTATGATATCGAACTACATGTAGAGTAAAGGCATTTGGGATGTATGGAAAGTCTATGGGAGATAAGAATCGTATTTCCCCTTTTATATCCGTATGAGCAATGGGATAAAAGAGGCATATATGCAGAGCAACTTATGCATATATAGAAAGAAAACTCCCGGGAGCCTGTAGAGTGAGACCTATTGTTGCTAATCAGATCATGGGTTAAATCCTACTTCATCCGCAGCACCTCAAAAAAGCGCTATCGCAAGGCAAAAGAATTCGTAGTAGTGATGGGCACCCTCAACCGCTACGAGCGCAACAATGGAACAATTGTGTCCGACGTCAGCTCCATTGCCTACATGAACACCTTCAGCACGGAGAGCATGCGCGACGATGTGGGCGTCATGTTTCTGCGCACCGGCCTCCCCGTCAATAGCAGCCACCCGACTGTGGCGCCCATTCAACTGGCCACAGAGCCAACTCCTTCTGGAGTCACCTGCCAAGTCTCCGGCTGGGGACGCACCAACCAGGTGAGTGGATTACCTTAACCAGCTATTGAATATTTCAATGCAATTGAATATTGAACTTGAATATTGATTAATGCAATGGATATCCAAGCACTCATCCATCCCTGCAATTTATATACTTTACGGATTTACTCCCGTTGCAGAGCTCGCTCTCGAATGTGCTGCTCACTGCCAATGTGACCACGATTCGTCACAAAACCTGCTCCACTATCTATTCAGGCAGCCTGCTCCCAGGCATGCTCTGCGCTGGGCGGCTAAGAGGTGGGACGGACTCGTGCCAAGGCGACTCCGGCGGACCCCTGGTCTACGATGGCCGAGTGAT